TTTACTTGAATCTCGGCGAATTTCGACTAATCAGCAGGGTGTGAAATCTGACTGGGGAGGTACTTGATTTTCCCAGCTGTTTTTATAATAAATGGGAAAAACCGGAAAAAAAAAACGGAGGAAAATGTTCGAATTGTAAGTATTGATAAAAAAATGACGGTCTTTTTTTATTTTTAATTTAAGGAGGATGCGAGAAGGAAATTTATGACGAAGATAAATAACCCCGAAATAGGCGAGATGAAGACGGAGGACAGTCGTTTAAGTATTATTTTCAAAATCATAATTTCGGATTACTTGCCGTTATTAATACGGGAAATGAATTCTGCTCTTGCGGTCCGTAGATGCCGAACTTGTAAACGAAATATAAAACGCACGGATAATTCGTGTGAGGTTTGTTCGTTCGGTACACGTTGTTTTAGATCAAATAAACTGCAAAAAAAAAAAAACAAAAAAAAAAAACCGTCGAATCGGGAATAGTAAAATTGATTTTAACGTTTAATCGTTCGATTTATTTATTCGGCAAAATCGATTACGATTCATTAATCGCAGTGAATCGCGTTAATAACAAATGGCCGACGCGCGTACCGACACGAGCCGCGGCTCGTGTCCGATACACGGGGTCCGTTAATTGCGATATGAACAATTCAACGTGCGATTATCGTTAGGTACGGTGGTGTAACGCGCGCGCAGTGTAATAGATGTCGCGCGACTCGATCGAACGAAAGCTGCCGCGCGACGACGGAGACGGCCGCGGCCGTTCGTTACGGGCGGCAATTCGCCCGTACACCCGACAAGCGACGATGAGCCGTTGTTAAAGAGACGCGGTTCTGAACTGTTGGACTGTTGATTGCGCGTGCCTCGCGAACCGTCGTGATCGGGGCTCGGGGTTCGCGGGTGTTGCGGTATTTTTCCGCGTGCGCCGAATTTACGGGCGGACCGAGGTAGAAACACGTTTCCATGCGGCGGAGGGTTTAAAAAATTGAACGTGTAAAATGCGTTTTTTTTTTTTTTTTTTGCAAAACGTATCGAGAAAAAGTGTACACATTCCGTCGGTTATTCTCGCGTATTCAATGTTTTCTAAACATTTCTTTCTTGGCCCGTTTATTTTAAATAATATCACATTTAAAATCCGATATTGTTTGATTCGATTTCAAAACGATAATAAATAAAAACTACTACTACGTTACTTTCAATTTTTATGTTCATAGCGATTTTTTACTTTTACGCGTGTTTTAAATGCCCCAGGATGCGTTTTTTTTTTCTCTGTCTGTGAACAACATTTGTACTGGAAATTTTGCTCTGAAGTATCGGGTGTAGCACTTTTTTTTTTTTGAAAGCAAATTTTCTCTAGTTAGTGTATCGGGAAATTTCCGTAATAATTGAAAACCCCCCAAAAAGACGAAAAATACCATATTTTTTTTTCAAATTACGACGGGTTGATTTCATTATTTAAAATTTCTAATATTTTATTTTTCTACTATAAATTTTTGTCTGATTTTGAAGAAAATCATATTTTCTGAAAAAAATGTTATCTCGTTTGTGAATAAGAAGGTTTTTGTTTAGTTTTCTTAATAATTCGGAAAAACTGAGGGAAAATACACGTAAAATACGCATAGAGAAATACACGTAAGAAAAATATGTACAGCATTTAGTGAAGTTATTTTTTTAATTTCCTCAAGAGTTTTCCTAATACATAGGAAAACCGGGAAAATTTACGAAATGTAGGTATTGGTTGAAAAATAATTTGGCTTTATATTTTCTGTCCTGCAGAGTTTCTTCGACCCAAAGTTGGACATTCAAAGTGTACAATACTAACGTATTAAATTAGTACAAATTTCTATTATTATTATTGTTTTTTACGTTCAATTTATTGATTGCGCGGTGTTTTTTTTTTTCCATATTCAGTCGCGCAGAGTAAGCATTTACTAAAACTTACGCGCTGTCTGTTTCTTATTATCATGTAAGCAAACGTTCTCCCGGATAATTTTCATCGTTAAAAACATTGCCCGAAAGTGACTTTTCGGTACGTCTACGTTGAAGTTGCAATAAATTCACTCATACTTGAAAACGGAAAAATATTACTTGTTCACAATACGCAGTCACGTGGGGTAAATATGTTGCAAACCTAGAAACGGTTACATGGCCAAATATTATTATGTTTTCAGTTAAGTCAGATATTATTTTGTGGCCGAGTTTGGGTAAAGTAATTTTTTATTTTTATTTTTTTTTTCACAGCTTTTGATTTTATAGTTTAATGTTTATTAATTATTTACAATGCATGCATATCATATTGTTGACGAAGCAAACCTATCAACCGAACTCCGCTCAGAATCGTTTTTTCGTTAGCGACGGTTGACCGTTGCGTACAGATTTATATTAAATTTCTCCTCTACTGCCTTCCCTAATTCTCGCCTACAACAGTGGCCTACCACCCCACGTGCGAAGTGTGTCCGTCTTTTTTTTTCATATTGACTTGATCCATCTGTGTATATTTAATAAATTCTACTCGGGTAACTAAATATTCCCGTGATTCCGATCGTTTGCCATGTTTAATTTGTTACGTACTGTTATTGTCGCTGAACAGAAAAAAAATAATAATAAAAAATACCCTACAACCGTATAAGTTATTGCGGCGTACCGCGAGCAACAGAAACGTAACGTATGTAGTGGATACTATAGTGGACACGTGGGAGAGGATATTCGGTAGAAGGTTGCAGACTACATCGTCAACACGCCAGAGAAAATTATTATTTATTAACCGGGGACAGGAAGAGTTGAATTTGTCCGTGGTCATTTTCAGCCTGTGCCAGACGGACTTTAAAAAACAACGCGACGTGATTAATAGGGCTGTGATGTGGAAACGTAGCGAATTATAAAACGAATGAACACAAACGAAAAAACAAACAATCCTTTCGGTTTTGATATACGGCGTGTTGGCGGAGACTCGCGCAGAGATACGCATCTCGAACCGCGCGTTCATATATAGAAAAATTGGAAAATTTATGCTCGCTGTATTACGAAGGTCGCATCACCCACTGCGGCTGTTGATGAGGAATTTTACGTTAACGATAAAATAAAAAAGTATAGCGTGCGCCGTCGCAGTCTGCGGCTGTATATGGTAAATGTACAGAGAGTGTAGGCACGGCACGGCAAATTTCACGAAATCGCATAGTTTTCCGTTTCGGAACAATCGGAATCCGACAGCTACGCCAGCACGATGCCGGGGATATGGGATTTGTACGCGCGTAGTGGTTTTGTTCGCGTCCGCATCGGACGCTGTTCCCGCTTCTGCGAGTTGCTGTATACTTTTCGCTCGCTTCGCAACAAACATCACACCGACCATTTGGTATCCGATCAATTCGGCGCCTCGGAAACATAACTGCGGTATTCGAACGGATACGTATCGATACGCTTTTAGTTTTTTACTATACATTTGGATCGTTCGATAACCGTTTGGTTGCCCGCTAAACGGTTTAACTGTGGTCTCGCTAATACGCCGCTGTGGTGTACGACATTTCGGTCATTAATAGATCGGTCCGAGGGGATGATTCGCGGTCTCGTTACTTGGCGGTCGGAGAAAACGAAAAAAAAAATTAAATTAATGTAGCGTTTATTTTATTTTTTCTTTTAAATCAAATTTTGATGGCAACAATTGCGAATTCCACGGACTTCCGAAACACGTACCGTAAACATAATATATCACCGCGTGCGTACCGGATAATAGTTTTTTTTTTTTTTTTTTTTTTTTT